GTGGACACTCTGGGTCGTGTGGAGGTTTCATATTTAGGCGTCTGACATGAGAGGCCATCACACCAGACTGACTTGAATCGTCTCATGTGAACTGATAAATATTGCGAAAGCGCAAAATTGTGACTCGTTTACCGAAGACCTAAAATGACAACCAATAACTGCCTTGGATATATAGGTTGACTAACCCCAGAGGTCGAGGCCTCCAATTTCCACAGAGCCATGAACGCTTCAGCCCTTTCTTCAAGAACCCGTTTCTGCTTGCCAACTATGCAGAAAACGTGACCATATCACACTCATGTGAGCAGGTCCTCCTGTATGGCAAGCAACAGAGACGCACCCAGCATGTGGATCCTAAGGGTTTGGGAAACTGACAAACGATAAAACTGAAAGATGATATGTATGAAGGACGATCACCAAAACGAAATGACAGCGAACTGTTTGGCAGTACGGCAACCGTTAGTGAACAAGTCTGTCAGGAACAAATAGAACTACGGACAAGTGGAGTATGGGCGCAAGGGATTCACTGGGGTGGTATCATGTCCTGGGGTCAATAACGGTTGTGGTAAGTACCCATATCAGAAAGCAGATACGGCTTGTCCGTCGACAGTGTCCACCCGTTTTCAAACATTCGAAGTCAAAAGAGCAGATTTTGGTCAGCGGAATTGTCGACATGCTTGCTAGTTTGTGTAACAACTGGTTTGAATAGTCCAAATGAAAACATCCAGGGAATTTCCTGTCCTAACGTTATTTTTTGACCTCACGTCAAATCCACAGTGTATCCCTGGTTTGGTATCAGGTAAAGGCCTCGACGATTTATTTTGATGGTGCGAGCTACTCAGTAGTACTCAGGATAATAAGCTTCTCCTAAAATCCGTCTGGTATGCAGGAATTGTGCAGTAACTCAGATTAATACCGTACCCACCAGAACTTTGAGCGCAGGACCTATGCAACGAGAATGAAGATTGTAAACCGGTTAAAAAGTTCAACTTGCCTCGACTTTAGGGCTTCCGGATTATGTTTAATGCTGCAACAACGAAACTAATATCTTTGTGGAGCTGCAGGTGCTGAAACATCTATCAGGAATCAGCGAAATACACTCATTTGCAAGCTAATTTGTTTTTTTGAGAGACTCACCTGGAACCCAGCTTAATCTTCCGGTTTTGATGTTTCCAGGCAACTGAATGTGCTGCACCAGGCCGCCTCATGCTTCAGTCGCCACGATATTCGGGATATCGTGATACATATATTTTTGTAATGCACTACTCATCAGGTTTCTGAAAACTCCTTGACAGCCCACGACCGGTTTTCCTTCTTGGAGCTCATCAGGTAGGTATTCCCCGAGTTTCCGTCAACCTTATGTTCTGCTTGGAAACAAATTGCACGAAATAAGCGAAATACATTCATTTGCAAACTAATTTGGTTTTTCGAGAGACTCACCTGGCAACCACCCTGGAAACATCAAAACTGAGAGATTCAGCTGCGCCTACCTGATGAGCCACAAGAAGGGCGAAACCGGTCGTCGGCTGTCGAGGAGTTTTCAGCAACCTTATGAGCAGCGCATTACAGAAATCTATCAGGAATGTTCTGTTAATGTAGTCTTGATGAACCCCACTTCGGAACTTACCAAACGTCAGTGCTAAGGAAATACGGTACACCGTCGACAATAAAAAACAACAAATTGACGCGAACAAATAACTCGTAGCATTAAACTTGCTGCCAGTGCTGCTATCAGCTTGTTAACCCAACGTTTTCAGTAAGAATGCAGACAGCGAGCGGAATTTCGGCCTAACTTAAATCTTTCCTCTTACGCGCAAACGGCGAAGAATCCAAACCAGCTGATCGATAAAGCAACTGGGTGGATCCCACCCAACCCAAGACGCACTGAAGATGTCTCCTCAAATGGTAAGAAACGTTTGGCAAATCAGTTGTCAAGCTCGGCGAACAGATCAACAGCCATCTGATCAAATACCAGCTGATTCACCCGAGCTACCAATATTCCAGCACATCATCAATAAATCAACTATTAAATCTTAAGTTCGTACTGGATTTTTGTGTGGAGAATCCACCCTGAGATAAAAGGCCATCGAAAACACAGGATCGTCTGCCGTGAAGTTGAGTCGTCTGCTTCAGGTTTCGTTACTGAACCACGTTTTGTGTGCGAACTGTACCAGCCAGGTGATCAGGCATGCGACTATACGGTGGTTGAAGCTCACAACAACTTGGGGAGCGAAGATGGAATGCTTAGATCCAGATCTGATTTCTGACGCCTCTGTTACGTCTTGGGCAGATTCACTCATCGCCCTATGGAGCAGCAGAATGAGACCAGATGTAACCTCATCTGCGTCGTTGATAGCATGCGCTTGCAATAGCTTTTCCCAAAACCCAGTCTTGCAGATATGGCCTTGAATGGATAAATCTGTATTTAGACGGGTCACCTTCCTTCATTTATGATGATCCTCTGTAACCAACTGACATTCATTGCACTTCAAATGAAACCAATAGACCATTGAGGGAACGGTCGCTTTGACCAAGAGCGCAGGATAGTTGCATATCCTCCTGAAAATGTTTTCGAACTACAAATCTCGGGTTCAAACGCAAAGATCCATTATTTGATTACCTCGCCAGGTCACCTAGGTTAGATGACCTCGATGAATATTCGCCGTCTACCAGATTCGAATGAGGGCGTAGCTGTTCCGCTAGTTAGTGCAGATACACTCTTGGAAGAACCGCGATATTCGAATTTTGAGCATGGCGTATTCGGTAATGTTAACCAATTGAAAAAGCTGCCCGGAGTGGCTTAATTGCTCCAGTATATTTCGCGAGTTGCGTCCTTAGAAAGCACCGATTCCTTTCTAAGAAAAGTATCCAGTTAGCTTATTGTCTATTAGGAAAATCTGGATGTATAATTACGATGACTCTCAGTAAGGATGAAACGGTTTTGAAAGTATTTTTGACTTGACCTAAGGCACAAAATCCCTATTGAACTACAGACGACGGAAATTTCCGACCAAACAACCGCCAGTACGTTTGTTTAGTGTCTGATATTTACCTCACTAAGTTATGTTGAATGAATACAACTGACGAATTCACTGTGGACTCATTGAGATGCGATTCGCACACAACATGTACCATAGATTAATCAAACTTAACCTGAGGACCTTTATCACAGTGTAGTCATGGGCTGTTTGAATACAGCTCGTAGAGGCCTCGTCATCAGCAGGTCAGCACGGACAGCAAATCATACATCCTCATGGTTGACTTTGGACTGCGGATTCTGCGACCAGTACCATATGAGTCTGATTCTGCGTCCACTCATTTTTAGACATCACGCGAACGCTTGGACGGGTCACTCAGCAAGAACACAGATGTAGCCAGCCTGTGACTACCCAAACTGATAACAATTTTTTCGTGTTTAGCCGAACGAAGACTGCTTAACTAGCGTACTAAAGTCACATGAATCTCGTACTTGTGCTCCTCGACACGACGTCGAATTTCACACGCCAAATGTGTCCCCGCGGATGCCCACGCAATGCTGTCCACTGATTGCTACACGCGCAGCTCGAATTCTGAAGGAGATGAAACGGTGCTGCGCGCACGCGACACGTTCTCATTCCGTAATGCATCTTAATTTCACATCGATGGGTGATAAGAATGCCATCAACATACTCCGATACACGCAGAATTTGCCTCGGGGCATTTTTAATTAATCCATGGACAGCTAAATATGGCTTTGAATTGTTAGGTAGAACGGGTGCCCTTCAGTTTTCAGTGTTGTTTGTCAACCTAGACTCATAATCATGATTGATTCGCGCGGTTCACGCACAGCTAGCGTGCACATTCTTCGATATTGTGAGCACTGGTTACGCAGACAATATGACATGGCCTTTGTACGGCAATTTCAGTTGAAGAATACCATAAGCGAGACTCAGGTGTATTTGGAATGCACTACTCATAAGGTTGCTGAAAACTCCTCGACAGCCCACGACCTGTTTCGCCCTTCTTGGAGCTCATCAGGTAGGCGCAGTCCCCGAGTTTCCGTCAACCTTATGTTCTTCAATTTCAACCTCTTCTCCGGGCAAACTACGTTAGCTTCCAAAGGTGTTTATTGCCGCGCATGTAGACCTCGATTATGAAAGAGTAAATAAGGCCGAGGGAAAGTCTGTACTTGGCCAACCTGGTAAGCCCCAAAAATGGGGAGACCGGTAGCCGGCCGTCTAATGTTTCCATCAACTTGTTGTACACAACGCATGGGAGCGGTTGCACAGAATTAGGAAGACAAAGTTGCAGCCTACTTTCTAGCGATTTCACAGCTATCGACTGAACGGAGCGAAGCTGGTTAACATTGTTGGGCTGACTATTTCACTGACATTCGACAGATCAATATTTTCTGGATACTGCAACTTCCATGACCCTTGTGTTGTTTCTCTCGGTTCAGATTTTCTAGAATTATAGTTCGTCGCGCGAGAATCTGTTCAATTTTTCAGATTCATCTGGAGAGACTAGTCTGATTCCCTTGGCCTTTCGGAGAATAATGGATAATGGCCGAACGATTCACAGCTAGACGTGTCACGGCAGGAAAGGAAGGAGCTGGTGTTACTCTCTGGCTTATGTGTCTCCCTAGCTTGGTACCTATGATGGTTTTATGCAAACGAGGAGGGCTTGGATTTCAGAGTTGCGTTTGTGAATTGAGAACGATTTTGCTCCTGTCAGTCAAAAGTGCATTCACTGCCCAGTTTCATTGAGAACTCAGTGACATCGATGAAAATCACGTGCTAGTGTGAACGAGCTGTAAATGAATACTCGCACACCGGTGGACATCTTTTTACAGAGCTACGATGAGGCCAGAAAAGTTGAAATCTAAGATAAGGTCATTACACGCACTTCAGAGACAAAGTATATTCGGTTGACTGGCAAACCATGCTCGACCAAGTTCACCCCCCCCCGAAAATGTAGAAAGAACAAAGATACATGTTGAAGCTGTTCAGTCAGGTAAAAGGAGAGGCTTGGAGACATAATCAAGACAAAAGTGTGTGTGAGAGAGAAAGAACGCACACATGCATAGAGAAACTGGCGACGGCGCGACACGAAGCGCTCCAGTTGACGGGAACCGCTCGCGGGTTTCGATGCCCATACTCGTAGTCACCAAAAGGCCCAGTTAACCAGACCAAATGCACCGACTATAGAGTTACGCAACAAGTCATAACGATTTTGAACGAGAAACACAAGAAACAAAAGGCCACGTGTAAAACATGCGAAGGTGTGGATGGTAAAAAAACAGTAATAAAAATCTGATAGGATATGAGGATATGAGGAGAGGTGTCAGTTTGAAGAAGGCACTTTACGAGCATCAGTTTAGCAAGTGGAGAGCGGCAGACACACAGAGAGAGTTCATGTAGTATAATGATCCAAATTTCAATAAAAACTGGAAGCGATCTGTCAGATCCAGTAAAGCTTGCTTCACAGACATTGGTCTGCGGCAACCTCTATTAGTCAGGTTGGTGAGCACGATTTGTGACGAAGGATGTGATTCACATATACATACAGTGTGTAAAGCTGACGACAAACAAGTGTATTCACACACATATATATATATATACCGAGCAGCTAGAGAGCCAGGGTGAAGGGATGTGGTCCACCAGTGAACCCCTGTCATATATATAAACTAACGGAATATGACAGTTCGGTTACGGGAGTTCTGTTCTGGTAGAAACGTTTCTCAGAAAGCATATATTGAAAGCCAAGTGGTAGCGAAACGATGACAATAAACGATAGCGTCAAAAATGCAACTGAACAGTGGGACAAATAAGAATAAAATGGACAAGAGGGTACAAACAAGAAGTACAGGATATGTTTGGCAATCGCTCATGAGAAGATTAGAGAACTTTGGTGTCAGGCAGAAATTAATGAAAGTGTTATCAGCAGTAGTGCACTTCGGTTAGAGTAGGTCATCGAAAAAATCAGCAAACACTGAAAAGAAAGAGAAAGAAACATTGAGACAAGGGTCGTGATCCAGGGCGCCAACTGGGCACAACAAAGGAGAGTAGACTACCCTACGTAAGAAAAGTGGCCGTCTCAACAGAATACCATGGAGACCAAAAACATGGTGTCTACCGGTTAAGGAATCTCATATCGGTGTGGACCTCGAGGTGGCTTAGTGGATAAGGTGCAAACCTATTGACCGGAAGGTAGCGCGAAAGTATCTGCTCATCTAATCATCATCATCATCAACAGTGGTCAGTGTAAAGGCACAGAATAGTTACCAAGATGAACTGAGGAGCTTAACTTATGTGGGGCAACCTCCACAGACTCAGACCACATTCAAAATCCTCGTGGTAAATGGAACAACCGTTTGAAACTGGCTGAGAGGCGCAACTGCATCCTGTCTGCCAAACAGAGTAAACAACTACACTGTATAACGATTAAGTTCCTCAACAAGACTTTGACTAGACTCTGACACACGACTGTGCACTGATGATGCCTCCTAGTATGGTGACCAAACGTTTGCAAGTTAGTTGACATGTTCGGTGAATAGATCAACAGCCAACTGACCAACAACCAATGATCTTTCACTTATAAGCAATCAAACTGTTGGTCAAACTTAACTGATCACATGACAGACTCTGTAATGGTGAGCAAACGAGTCCTACCTAACAGTATTCTCTCCTCACGCACCGTGAAGATACCATGACTAACGAGATCATTGTAGTGGATGACGCTTCATGAGACCTGTGTTGGGGAGATGATTGAAGTTCCTGGGATAGGCATGTCCACAAAATCACTGTCGTCATTCTCTGCAGATGCACGCTCTATTGAGATAATTCTCTCCCTCGAAGCTTTCGACGATTTTTCCCGCTCGATCATCACTTTTGGCGAACTGGCGCTTGCTGGACAAGCGGTTGACAATGCAGCTTCGTGAGTGAAACTAAAACTCATTCGGTTCTCGGTGGAAGAACTAGAGCTCACTGCACGCTGATGCTGTGGTCGCGGGAGACTGGCATGACGTAAAATAGGATTGCCTGTTATTGGTTTGTCGCAACTGTGTTGTTGGTGCGCCGTAGGTAGTGTATCGGATGATTGGGAAGAGTTCTGAAGGTCATGTTCGGGGTCAGCTGTTCCTCTGAGGACGGTTGAGCCTATAGTAAGACGAGTAAAAAAGAGAACGGTAGTTGAAACAACGAAAATGAACAAGCACTGTTCAATAAACTTTCCCATATCTTCAAAAGGCTGCCGGATCTCCGCTGAAATGTTGCTCGAAGTCCTTTAGTGAATAAGGTTGCTGCGGGTACTTCAAAATTACCGGTAGAAAATTGACTACCGTTGAAATGCAATCTAAAATGTGGCAAAAAGAACGAAACTCAAGACCGTCTGCATTATAGAAACAGTCATAGATTCACCTTGGCTGACATCCGGTTCGGGGCAACCCTCAGTTCGATTGTCGTTTCCTGCAGGTGGTGAAGACAGCATTGTTGCAGCGGCGGTGGAAACACCAACCCGCGACGATTTGGCAAATTGCATCGCGAAACTAATGTGAGCAATCCACTTTTGTTGTTCCGCTTTGGACTGACACCGAAACCAGTAGGTCACAATTGCTTTTCCACAAGCAGGTATCTCACAGTCCTGCATATCCATGTGTGAGGCATGAAACTTTAGCTGGCAGAGATTGAAGGGAAAAGGTTCGACACCAACTCATTATTTCAAACTAGCATTTAGAACACGCAGCCTATAGCCTGAGTAATGATGGATACGGTCAGCGAAGTTCAAGGTACAAGTCAATCTCAAAAGGAGCCCTTTTAAAACGAAGAGCAAGCAGAGGGGAAGAAGTGTGGCATAAACGACACATTACCAATATTACAACGTCACACAACAAGCACCTGAAAGTGAGAGAGATATACGTGAACTCTCTCCAGTTACAGTGATTTTGTGAACACTGGTCTACAATGTGCAAACATTGAAGAGAAGTAACAAACAACCCAGTCTAGGTATTAATGCGGAAGCATGACGTGTCTTAGAAGCGACATTATCGAAAAACGTCCGAGGGTTTAGAGATTCAAGATGTTTCTGTGGCTCGAAGTGAAGGAAGCGATGGTGAGACTAGCTATGGGAAAAACTAGTGGTTTCGCCTAGCGTAAGTGTAAACCAACCAAGCAGGAGGGGGGAACAGATACTATATTATCATTTATTTTTGAAGAGCAAACAAAAGTGAGAGCAAGCGATGAATGCGAAAGAGTAACCAAAGAAAGGACAAACAATGGTGAATGCTCTTCAAGGCGCAGTGTGCGCTAGCGCAGTCAAGACTCGCACATCAGGCACAAAGTGACCGTCATACTGGGTCTGGGGTGAGATTAAATGGCAAAAATGTACATTCAACGCCATGTGCCACGCATAAAAGTGTCATAAGTACGCAGGGAGCCCACAATGGCAAGCAAACACAAGTCACTGACTGCGACCTTAGGAAGTCCCAGTCCAATAACAGCCTTAGCGGATTGAGGAAAGCAGATCCCTCGATAAGAGATGATCATCGGTTGGTGAACCAAAAAGTCGATATCACAACCGATGGCATGTAGGGCTGAGATTATGGGGAGGGAATGTTCATCAGCACCATACTTCTGCTTCTTCTCATTCCACACTATCACTCCACGCCCATCCGAGACTATGCTGACGTCTATTACAGCTGCACGGCGATCTCGAACAGCGATTAGGTCAAGTTTGATGAACGATGTGGAAGTAGGGGCTCTCAACTCCTCGAAGACAGTGTACCCCAGTCGACGGAGACGTTTTGTAAGTTCCCTTGCAACCCGATTATGACGAGCACATCTGACATCATGCGTGATCCAGCAGGATTGCAAAATATGCATCAAACTCTCCAAAAACCGTATGAAGGTGCATTGATTACACCGCACAACTAGTGGCAAGATTCTTGCGGAAAAGCATTGGTAGCTTGAGCCACCTCATTGGTGGTCGCCCTGTCCTTCAGGCTTGGAGATTGGTCATGAAAATGTTTTGTTCCCAATCGAAGGGAGGTTATCAGTGGACGCATTGAAGTGGGGTTCCCGAATGGTTGGGAAACACCTGCAGAAGTATTCGCTAAGCTGAGCGAACGGAGCGGAAACCATCAGCACAACTACCATGATTTCGCTGCGAAATCACTGGTCCGTTCGAAAGTCTTTGCTTCCACGAAGCGACTTTGTGAGCCGTTATGATCGTACCGAACCACCGTGATGGGGAACGTGGTGGAAGAATTATTCATTATCACAGAGGAATTCGTTAGCATTTATGAACGAAGTACCGAAGTCCTGTCCGTGATGCTGAGTGGATCTCATGACTAGTCAAGGCTCACTCTTCAAGGACTAGTCTGAACAATCATAAACAATAGCATAAATGACATATTTTGTGTGATACCATAGGGTTACCTGCATTCTGATAGCTGTGATTGGCACTCTAGGTTTGTTCTACCGTCAAGGTGAAAGGCTATCATGTAATGTTACGACAGTGGGTGTCCACAGTTTCTATGCATCAAAATATTGGGATAGAAAAAACAATCAGACATGTGGACCATTGGTAAATGTGCAATAAAAAGGTAGCAGCATTGAAATTTCTTTGAAGACAAGTGTCAGACAATCGACATATTGTTGTATGGACAGGTCGAAAGCGTGACCACTTCAGTGACGTCAATGAAACTAGGCAGAACTGTACCTGACAATGAAGACATTGGAGGACCGGAGGAGGAGAGACCAAGTGCCAGCACGGCTTGTGGCACAAGTCACAAGAAGCGACCAAACGGAATTTCATCATTTGAAACCGATGTCCCCGGTGCTGATTCACGGGAGCGCATACGGGTTTTGGATTGGTTGGGGTAGAAGCACATGCAACGGGAGGACTGGTTGGTCCGGAAAGGTCGATGTGGGTTATGGTTGACCCTGAAGTTGGTCGTCTAGGTAAGTCAGCATCAGACTGATGTTGAACAATACGCCTTGTATTGACAGAACCGGAAGATGATGGTGTGAGCGGCGGGTGAGGATTGTGTGTGGAGAAAATCGAAGAGGACCCGAAACTGAATTTACGTGGTAGAGTCATGGAATTGCCTGCGTGAGATGAAACAAAGGGGAGTAAAGCACGTTACCGTAGGCTTTTACCATTGCGTGAGTTAAGACGGACCTCAATTGGGTATACCAAGGCTGCGATTACAGTCCTCAAGCTGTTAAGAAGATTGAGACGATTCTGGATCCGTCCACAACTAACCAAACCCATAAGCAAGTGTGCGAGCTTTATTCATACCGAATACAAAGCCACAGAAGTAGGTGACTTACTTTGTCCAGGGCTAGTAGCAGACTTGGGAGACGCAGACACTTCAGAGTAGGATCGATCGTAAGCAACCAGGAAGGCGCACGCAAGAGCTTCATCACGTTCATGTATGGCTTCTGAGGCATCCAGCGGGCCTACCTTATACAAAGCACCTAGGGGAATTTCCAGTATCGCGGGACCGGCAGTTGCCGAGACAGCAATAAGGCTGATAGCGCCACTCGAGCGTGAGGGAGATTTATTCGACCTGGTCTCAGCACCCAATGCGCCAACTGCGTCGTGGTTATAGTCCCAGACGGCCAGGTACGTAGAAGTGAGCTGGATAAGTAGGTACGGAGGAACATATTAACAAGTAAACATAAACAGTCTCGAGGAGAAAAAAGTAGCGTTCTGAAGTCAGTAGATGGTCACAATAGTCGAAACCTCGATACGTTTTCGAGCCTCCACATGGACTTTTGGTGAAGGCCGTGTATGGTCTGTTCATTGATGCCCTAAAAGCCCGCACATTTATACGCGAAGAATGTGTTGTGGGTTTCAGTGAACACCAACACAGCCGGCTAGCCATCACTTTGATGGAACGATAATCGTAGTAAATCATTCACACTACTCATTAGTAAGTACAAAATTAGAAAACTTAAGTGGCACGCGTTATTCCATGGACGGCCGGGTCGGGAGCAATCATTATTCAGGCGATAGGAAACTGTGTTTTCCGGGAACACAAGGTTTGGTTCTATACAGACGGTCTAATGAACAATGGATCAGTGAGGATAAACCTATTTTCAGACTTTAAATCAGAATATTTCCAAGTAGGAAGCCGACTGGATTTGGACGCTTGAGGGGTGGCTCTTTTTGTTTTAATTTCTGGGCTTTCTCCACATAAATTGACATGGTTGTATGCCAGTTAAGCATCAAAGGAGTCACACTGGCCGCGCTGCTAACACAGATTCTCGTGACCGATGCGACTCCACAATTCACCAAAAACAGCACCAAACGCAGTGGCTTATTTAAAAATGCCCATTGAAGTGCGTCGGACGTCTCTACGAGGGTTTGTTTGAAAATATACCTGATCTACAAATGAGGAGAAGAAGGCACTTCCACCCACGACGCACTGACAACTGAACTGGTGATGAAGTGTTTGCAACCGCATTGCCAAGCTCATCGAACATACCATATACATGGTCATTTACAGGATCATACGATTTCCCTGGTGTTTTCAGGCCAGGGAGCTTTAGTTCCGAAAAATTGGCATCAAAATGTTTCATAGCAAGCCTATCTTGCACCAACTGACTGCTCAGATACAAGTTACTGTGCGCTTTATTGCGGCCACCCAAATGCACCTCAGCATTTAAAGGCATACCGCGACGAGGCCGCAACGAGATATGCAGTCGTATTAGAAAGTGTGAAAGCAATATCCTCTGTTTAGGTATTCGAAATGACACCGAAACGAATGAATGACAATTGAGTATCTATTATATGCAAGAGGTTTTGGCAATGAACAGTTCAGGGAAGGAGTGCTCATGAGATTACAACCTGGTGGTGTAAAATGTCGGACAAGCAACCTTCAAGATGACAGATGTTTGGCTAAAGCGCTCAATTTCCGTCGACGCCATTCACTAGTTAGAATAACCAGCGAACCAAACACAACCCGCGACATTGCTTAAAGGATCATTGAATATGATTTTCACGCAGGGCGGCGCCTAGATTATCAGGTGTCTTGCTGGGCCGTACTAACCGTCGACCGAAGCAATATGAAGGACTAAAGTCCGCAATTTGAAAGTGCACGCAGTCGGTGTGTTAAGGTGCCTAACGACACTGCGCACAGTATAGAATTAAACTAAAAGACCAGACACACGTTCCACTCTGCGTGAAAACACACAACCGACTCTAATGTGCATACTATTGGTGACAACCTACGTGCGCTTTTTTGGTGAATAGCCTAGTTGGATTTTTCTGTCAGCTAATTTCGGCAGAAACTAATTGCCAAGAATCGAACAGCAGAAGCGATGTGTGAACAGTCATGTGCTCTATTTGCTTGGCTAGATAAGAAACTAGGCGAGCATTGGACGCTAGTATCTCATAAAAGATTGTGAACAAACACCGATGACGTTTTTGCTGAAGAATGGCGTACCACTTCGGTTGGTAAGGGCTAGATCGGGGGTACACCCTAAGAACACAACTTGGCTGTAAAAACCGCATTGCCTTCTGTTCGGAGTAGCTGATTCATTGTGTCGCTTTTGATCTGAAGAAAGTCATACCTTATCTGTACGCTAATTGCTGGGATGCAGTTGTCTGGCTATAAAGGATGGTCACCAAAGCAGACCTTCGAAATGGCTCACAACGAAGTGATAGGGCCACCAACGTCTTCAATCATAACTCCAGTCATACCGAGTGCATTGAATTTACTTTTGTCCAGCAAGCGGTAAATTAAAGCGTGGATCAAACCGATAATTTGCACGAACATCACAAATCTACGTCCCTCTTTCAGAGTACTGGCAGAAATCATTTCAGGGTCGTAGAGATCTTTGTACGTTCTAGAATACCCCATGGGGTTTACGTCGAGAGGAGATTAGGTTAGGTCGACAGTTTCCCGAGAGACCGGTTCATGTGTGCCTTGGAAGTGCCTCAAATTTACCGACAGAAACGCTGTTCACCTGAATTGGAAAATTCTTAGTCTACGGAACCAATAAATAAGTACTGTTGCAAAGCTAACAAGATGCTTGTTAGTAGAGGCAGGAAGACAGGGAATTTGTACAAGGTGATGCGGTAATCCTCGTCGTGATCAACAACTGACTTCCATCTCGTCCCATGAAGTGTTGGAAAGGAAAACCTGTGGTCCTATTCTTCGCCTGATTCAAACTCCATGGAGCACAGTAGGATAAGTGGGGAGGCAATTCCCTACTATCATATAGAAGGCTCTGTGGTTGTTCTGGAAAAGGACTAGGGAGTTGTCATTCAGTAGCATTCGCATATACCAAAAGTGTAGCACGTGTAGTGAGATGGCCCAAGTGGTTAGAGCGCGAATTTACTGACCGGAAGGTCCCTGATTCGAACTCGACCTCTGCCACTCGACTTCCCCTGTCTAGGCCTGGGCGACCTGGTAGCATCCCAGCCCTCGTGCTTCCTCCGAGTAGCATAACAGTTAGGCACCGGAAGGGTGTTACAGCTGAACGATTATTTTTATTATTATTATTAAGCAAATCATCATAATATCTGTTGACGAGACAACAACGCTGAGTGGTTGTCTAATGTTGCGTCCTTTGCTTTTCACTTTCTGGTTACTCAAATTGATGTTTCTGTAATTTGTGAGTTTGAATCCCGATTACATTTGTCAAATGTTGAACGAAATTCACGCGACCCTTTTCATTAAAGGTCAAGTTGCGATGTAGCTCGTCGATGGCTCCACACTGTTATCGCGGGCTATAATCCGATGATCACGGCTAAGCTTCTTCAAGAAATATGACGATACGCCAGATAGGTGCAACGACCCCAATTTCGACGTGCCAGTTTGCTCAGAAAGGGGTCAGCAGAACAAAACATAGTTGTGCAAAGGAGTTTCACTTTTTGTAATGTACTACTCATGAGGTTGCTGAAAATCTGTCGACAGCCCACGACCGGTTTCGCCCTTTTTGGGGCTTATCAGGTAGGCGCAGTCTCCGAGTTTCCGTCAACCTTACGTTCTACTGACTGACTTCCATATCAGTATCTCGTTTAGGTTAGTGAGAGCTTCATAAGAGCGTTCAGAAATTTTTTGATTAGTTGATCGAATTCGTCACACTGAAGTCTTCTTTTGTCCGCACTTTTTCGCCATCACAACGAAAGTGAATTGGGTTCAATAGAATGACGAAAACAAGGACTGGGTGCGCATGCAGACTATTCTTCAAGTTTTATGAGAAGCGTTCACCGGAGGAACGGTAAGTAAACCTCCGAAAGGAAGCACATTCCGCGAACCTCAATGCAGAAATAAAAAACGAGCCATGTTCACAGAGTTCAACACTTACCTTAACTATACGAGGGAACCAGTCAAGTTTTTTACGACGCTGCTGTTTTACACCAAACTCCAGAATTCCACACATACTGAAATCGGTGGGATCCAAAGAGGATATTTGGTTGAGACGTTCATTGGATGGGTGCGTCACAGAAGCGGGAGTGTGGATGGGTGAGATGAAATTAGACAGTTGCGTGGAGAATGTGGTCCGTTCGCCTAACGAATGCTGTCGGACATGCACCTCTCGGGTGTTGTCTGGAAGCTCAGGATTGGACTGTAGGAGAAGAACACGATTTCATACTTACAGGGAGGAGTAGCTGGTATGAAATGTTAAGCATAAGACCAGACTGGTAAATTTCCAAAAAGATGACCGATAACATCTCTTATCATGTTATGAGGTAGTACTAAACTGTACCAAAGAGAGTGTGGTTAAATAAGGCAAACTGTGTGGCTGTGGCACTGTCTGGATGCATCCTGGTCACATGATAGCTCGGATGGAACACGGTTACCTAAAAACAGAGAAGCTCAACAAGATGATCAAAGTAGAGCGCTACTCGAGCTCTACAATCAGTATCCGTACGTTTGTGAAAGGTTGACCGATAATATGAAAACGGAGTCAAGCAGGTGAGTTGAAGACGTCAAGACTGGAAGTATAACCTCGATTGTCGAAAGGTGAGTACACATCTCTCCTACACACCGAAATTCGGCAATCAACTGTGAGCCGACTGTATGTCTGAAGTAAAGATGTGTGATACACTCAGTAAGTATGGGTTCACTAAACATACGGTCAACAAGCAGTCATCGATTTTTGCCTTATCATGATTAAGTTGGTCATTCAATCAAAAGGGAAGGAGGCGATAATTAATGGTAGTTCACAAGCTCGATCGGTGAGGGTCCGTATAATCTTAGACGCAATACGACGGACGACAGTGCGCAATTCTCGAAATACTACTATGGTCACAGGCCCAAAATATGGAACTCCGCTAGGCATGTTTGGAAATGACGTACAGAGGTGGATGAAGCATGAGAAAGAGCATTTGGAAGTAAGGTCTTCTGGAACGGTACGGTTCGGTCAGACCCGACAGATGACATGTCGCCTTTGCTCCAGGCGAACAGTCCAGAACGGTTACGCGAAGTTATGCTGGACTGGTTCAAAGTGGAGTACGGACCATTGGCACCAAGATCATCGCTTGGATCACGACTGTGGTGAGAGTGATGCTGCTGATGGTGAGGATTCGCGGATGGGTGCGCGGTTTGAAAATGTGCCTCTTCACGAAGTTGAGATAACTCCATCAAGATGTGAGTGTTCTGAGGGTGAAACAAAACAAAAGCAAAGGTTAACCCAAGTCGAGCATCAGAAGAGAAAAAATCTGAAAAATACTGAGCATTATTTCGAAATGCAACCCAAAGAGCAACAGTTGAGTTCATCGACATCTTTAGAAAGCTCTTACCTAATCCGTTGGCTTTGTTAGATTGTGTAAAATAACGCGTCGCACCACAGGGATTTAGCCAAACAACCAAAAACGTCAATCAAGCATCAGACACGTTCACCAATGAGATTCCTTCTTTTAGACTACTTATTTAGATGAGGCTCATGTGGCCTATCGGTAACACCCAAAGTCATTTAAGCTATGCTGACTGGACCGTATACCACCCCCAACTAGTAAATCACAAGGAAACAAATCTTACGGACCGATATGAGAACCATCGCAAGCTCATAAGTTGATTCATTGCGAACAAGCGCTGGTGACAGGAACCAAGATGTACAGACCGACAACAAACAATAGCAAATTATGCCATAGGTTCCTAACATCGAATAGTGTTCAATTCAAATCCTACATGACCACGAATTGAGTAACAGGCGTGAAGAAACAAGGCACACCAAACTGGGCGTCCATTTTTCAGATCAGTCGTCTCGAAAAATGGAAGGAAAACGTTCAACCACTCCATCGTTACACCTGTACGCCGATGTCGCAATAGTATTACAAGATGAAATAACCGCTTCAGGAAGCTTTTACAGATCGTCGGCGAAATGAAAAAAAGGATTTTGAAGAAAATCTACAACTGGTCCGCGGTGGTCTAAGATGTGTCCAAACACTTGGTCGGCCCACTGAATGTCAGGATGACGCATATTCCTATTTCGCTGACGGGCATTTTTCGACAAAATAACCACTTCAGGAAGCTTTCATAGATCGTCGGCGAAATGAAAAAAAGGGATTTTGAAGAAAATCTACAACTGGTCCGCGGTGGTCTAAGATGTGTCCAAACACTTGGTCGGCCCACTGAATGTCAGGATGACGCATATTCCTATTTCGCTGACGGGCATTTTTCGACAGTCGGATATAGAATGAACACAAAAAAAAACAGAAACAAGGGTGGGTGGGAGTCCGAGGAGGCATCTTCGTTTGATCAGATATGCTACTAGTTCTGTGGAAGGAAACGCTCGACAGAGAGCTGACCGACTTTAGGGCGAGTATCCTACATACAGTCGGCTGCCAAGACTACGTATACCGCAAACAGTGTTGGCTCCAATGATGAGCTTAGTATGTATGTCGAATTGTTCCGTGTTGATTTTCAAACAGTCATCCTCCTAAACGGCAACGCCGTCTGTTTGGGGTCGAAGGTGTGTTTGCGGCCTCGTTTTTGCGTAGCACTGAAGATTTCGTTCTTGAAAGAGTCAAAGTAGATGTAGCAGACCACAGTAGCTATTTCGAGCCTCGTCTTTGGCCGATTTTAGTGCCGCTAGGGGTGAGAATTCAGCCAACGCAGTAGAGTTTAAGCCGGTCACTGAAATTTTCTACAAGTTGGTGACAAAATCTTAAAAGTGTGACGAAGATTCTGTCATTTTGCCAACCCAAGACAATCCATTCGTAGTTCGGCCTTGAACGACCGACCGCTTGTGTGTGAGTCCTCATCATCAATACGATCAACAAACAAGAAGTCCTTGGTTTGTCAGTTATAACTCGTGCGAATATTTTTAACGTGACCACCATTACTTGCAAGGTTGAACATGGATACCCAAAATTCAGAGAAAATGTGAAGGGTAAAGAAGTGGACGGCCTCGAGTCCAGGAGAGCTTGATACAACAGTCTGGGAGTGCAGTTACCAGGTGAATGTCATCGCGTTCGCATACCAGTAAACAGAATGCGCACAGAAAGGAACGTTTTCGGCATAGCACCCTCCGAAAACAATTTAATACAGTAATAATACCGAAAATGAAACATGACTGGCAAAATGGTGAAGCAATAAACCAGAACTCACCTCGCGTTTCGATGCGGCCAACTCCCAGTGGAGTCGTTTGATTTCATTTTGCAAACGCTTTATCTTCTGTGATTGTTGATGCAACTGTTGTTGTTGCCGATTGCCCAAAATCGCGGCCAGTTTGTGTCGATTGGCTGTACTGCCCATGAATAAACCGCCATCTTTGGATTGAGCGCTGGCCAGGTACATAAGCTCCAAAGCAGGGGTGTTCGTACCGGACATCACCTGTGAGGAAGAAAACAAAAAAATGCGAGAATCTGATGGAAATAGCCCCAAACGAATCGGGTGGTAAAAAGTATGATGGAGTCAAAATGATACAAACAGGACCTTTGAAAAGTGATCTATCCAGAGAAACAAAAAAGATAAAGGCAGGAGGTTGCTGCCTGTCTGAACTGCCGTGCGTTTTCGGATTAGTTAGAACGGGGCGGAAAAACATGCATCAGTAGATCGGCATTCTGATTCCTCGGTGGGCGCAGTTATCCGAGGGTGATACACCAGGTGTTAGCTAACGAGGGATCCTGGGAGCGTCCCTACCCAGCTGGGGAGTTTCTCCCTGAAAGAATCTTGTCAAAACTCACTAAATATTCACAAAAAGGAACGTCCAAAATAATTATGCATGGACGAGTACAGATCTCTAGACGGACCGTAATACACACATGATGGCTTGCGTGCATTCGGACGTACACGGGGGTAGACAGGAAGGTGGCTGTTGAAGAACCGTTACGCCCCAACAGTTCGTATCCGGTAAAACAGAACTGCGCAGTTCCGTTTTCAAACAGTGGGCTTTTGGACAACATCAGGGCGGAGCACAGAGCTTGCAAGGTAGGCTCCGGGGACCTAATTACACAAACTGCGCAATCTGAACAGACACCAGGTGTCCGCGTGATTTGCGACTGACCCCAATTTGACGAAACAACCTGTCTGCGCATCCCTGTCTGGCGTGAACCATGCGCATCGATTGGGATTTGTTTGGTGTACATATCCGCACCCAAAAACATGACAACGAAACGTAAGCCGAGTTAGCGGTGCATGTGCGCGCGTAAAGGACCGGGAGATAGTTTGCTGCGAAAACCGAGGACTGAAAACACACGGGCGCACAATGAAGCACAACCGCACACATCCACATTCTGATAGGACAGCTGAGTCGGGCAAGAAATGATAATCGCTGTGTTTACAATATAGACTAGTGTGGTAGCTGAAGCAGGTCAGGAGTTGGTGTGTGAACATAATTTTGAAAAGTATCGAGTTTGTGATTTTTTTTTCAACGGTTCACGGGCTGATACTTACCGCTGTCTGCTATCTTGGTCAAAGATAATGAACATAATGGAACATAATGGTGAGAAATGAATGTGATACAACTGGCTCAAAAACAATCTGTAGAGTACTTAAGATCTATCATTACTAGCACTAGGAAATGGTGTGCTGATCCCACCTAACGAGCACTACATATCACTTAGGAAACGGTCCAATTATGATACGCATGTAATGGAACCTAGACGAAAGGCATGAGAGTTAACAAGTCCGAGAACGTTCGAGATGATTTGGTTGGAAAGTGATGATGTTTCAGCAGGATTCAAAAGGTGGTGTGAACGTCCAAAAACCACATACATACACTTTCGGCATCCCAGCTTAAAAACACAGTAACCACAGACTGGACGAATTAGACCAGTGCCAATGTATCAAGCAGGACATAGACACTTGCTACACAGAAGGGTTAAATGTTTTGCAGGTAGGAATGTTTTTAGACAGTCTGACATGTGTAGCCGTAATACACTACTCATAAGGTTGCTGAAAACGCTCCTTGTCGAAATCTGACCTGTACTTCATGCCGCATTAGTGAGACAAAGCGCCGCTTCAGAAAAGATGATAAGCCATATCCGGCTCACCGATGGATGCTGACAGGCGATAACCGGAGCTTTAATTCCGGCTAGAGGAAGCATTGTGAGAATGCTGCCAGATCAGTCTATAAGGGACTGAAGGGAATGTCGAGTAGACAGTTGGCAGATTTTGGAATATGCATGTGGCTTTAAGTAATATTTGTCTCAATGAAGCGGCTCTACCATTCGCGAATGGGCAGGGTATTAATCCTAAGTAGGTTTAACCTTGACTTTCATCATTGTTCTTCCAGCTGATGACAACCGAGAGGAGGATAGAAACAACCCACCTCATGAAGCTTGTTCACAGCTGCAGCACATTTGCTCTTCTCTTGCTCGTAGGCCTGCTTCATCTGTTCCAAACTCTCGCGAAGAGCCGCTGCCTCCCGACGCGCCAGTGTGGCACGATGAGAAGCGGAAATGGCACTTTCGTCGGCAACCTATAAATAGACAAGGGTGGCGTATTTCAATACCAAAATCGTGCAACTCAAGGGATCAATAATATTACTAAAAATAATGATGCAGTGGAAAAGAATACTCTAATCAGAAGCAGATGGACTAGAAGACCTATCGTAATCAAGGAGTGGGAACGCGGGAAGTGTTTTATTGACAAGATCCACAGTTCTATATTGGTCATGGATGAAAATTATTCGAATGAAGATGAGCCTCGGTATTCTGAAGTGACACCATTGATGGGGATTTAATCCAGTGAGATTGCCTAGCCAAACAGAAAGGGGGCTATCTAGAAGAATGCCACCCAATCACCAAAATATGGATCAGATTCTTCTGAGACGAGTGTTCTACTAACCCGATGGAAGAACGGTTGTCGGTGTTTCGATATGTAGTACACCAAGAAGCACATAAAATCGCGAGATTAATAGCGACTGTTAAAGATCTGTGCTCACACTTAAAAAATGAACTGTCAGCTTACCGACGCCCAACAAACGATCAAATAGTCATTAAAACACAATGTGACATACACGGAATGTATTGATACTGAACTATGAATAACTGATGCTTTACGACTCATCCTGGTTTTGGACAGGCTCGCTGAGTTTAGTGATTGCCATCGATTTGCCAAGGTCGCTGAGCAAACCTAGGATCGACGAGCGCGCCCAGCGCTGCAAAGGGATTAACGGAGCGGATGCTCCTAAGACGTGTGCTGATGGGTAATGAGCCGGATGGAAATTTGATTCACGAGGAGGCTTATCTCCGGAGGCCCGACAGGCGGTATTCGAGGATGTACTAAGAGCAGATTAAAAGACCACATCACCATACTCATCACAACATCCGCGGTTTACTGGCTCCATAAACACGGTACGGAATTTGCATGTCTGTGAAGTGGGATTGCACAACCAAGATAGTGCGATAGGCAAAGCCGGTTAAAAAAACACTAGGTTACCGAGAAAACGAACAAAAACCGTACCGAAGCAGCGACAAACATCCACTACTCACCCGAGCAGCCTCACGATGCCGTAAGCTCCGCTGCTGTTCCTCAGCCAATGCACGGCGAGCTGCCTCGCCCTCTTCGAAAAACCGTTGGCGCTTCTTTTCGCTGTCGTTTAGTAACACGCGCAGTTCTTCCAATTCACGATTCTGTGCGAAAGTCAGCGAGGAAAAAATGTGTCAGCCAGATATCCTAGCAACCAGTTGCTTGAAGCTAGTGTAAAAAAGATGCCTGACCAAGCTAAAGATGCCGACTGCACAAAAGTAACCACTTCAGGTGCATCTGCTCACATTCTTAACACGGCCTTGTTATAAATGAGGCGCCTTCTCCAAAACCTGAGAAAGGATGTGAAGTTGAGGTTAGGATACACTTTAGTTCACGGAGAAGTGCTGGAATGCGGAGCATTCTGCAGCGTCTCTCCTATGTAGTAACCTATTCGACCTGCAAGCGTTCGATGTGAGAGCGCCTTCAGTAGACGACTAGTCCGAATCCGCGTGAATAGATAACGGAGAGATGCCAAAAACCACTAGAACCATATATCACAAGGACCCCCACGATCATTGTTAGTTCACTTATGTATAAACTGGTCCAACTTTGCCCTATGATCGTAAAGACACAGGGAATACAAATTTTGAAGGTATCCTAATAACGGAAATCTAAGGAAGCACCTTCATTTGCCAAACAGAATACAGGAACAGCCACAAATGGCTGTCATAGGCGGATGTTTTTCTCGGACAGACAATGAGAATGTGCAGAAATGAACTATTGCGTGACCACTTGGATTAACTGGGAAAACTAACAAAGCGGGACCCACCAACTCTCTTATCTGATCCGATTTTTCAGCAGAGGTCTCTTTGTACAGACGACAAAAGTGCTGCTCCGCTTCCAGCATGTCTTGGGCTTCGCGAGCGGAGGCTTCAGCTCGATGAGCCCGTTTGGCCATCTCTTCGACGCGTGTTAGCAACAGGTTAGTGGCTACTGTTTGGGTATCCATCGATGTTGGGGTTGTGACTAGAAGGTCGCTTTCTGGTTGGTCAGTTGGAGGGGGAACTTCAGTGGCTTCGTTTGCCTGTTGGGCAGAGACAGGCGCATCGGGTTGTGCAGGTAGAGTAGGGGAAACGACACGAGACAGGGCGCCACGTGAACCCGAAGCGGCGAAACGATCCGCAACTTCTGCTGCTCGTTTTGCTAGCCGAGCTGTGGCTTGTGCGACGGCAATGCTCCCGGCAGCTTCAGCAGTCTGACGAGCCGTTTGCTCAGACTGTGCGACAGCCTGAGGGAGAAAAACAGGAGAGACCATCAGAACAATCTGCATTAACACATTCCTAGTAGCTTTATGCTAGGTCTGAAGCGCATTGTGCATAATGATAATGAGAGCCACAGAAAAGAAACATGTACCTTCCATTTAGAGAGCTCAGCTTCCAAATGAGCTAACTTCGCCGCCGCCTCAGCTCTGACCAGTTCCATTCGCTGATGTGCCTCATCCAGTGCACTGCGATGAGCAGCTTCTCGCTGGGAAAGCCTGGATTCCAATTCACGACGTTGAGCAGCTGAAGGGGGAGAAAAACAGGCGCAAGAACTAAGGGGGGAGAAACCCAAAGGCACAAAAAGAAGAGGCATTTCACCAGGTCCTCAGAAATGCGATCGAATACAGAATAGTTTGATGTGCGTCGCAATAACGGACAGCAAAACTCAAACCAGTTTACTAAGGGGGGAGAAACCCAAAGGCACAAAAAAAAGAGGCATTTCACCAGGTCCTCGGAAATACGATCGAATACAGAATAGTGTGATGTGCATCGCAATAACGGACAGCAAAACTCAACCCAGTTTATAACCAAATCATTCATTTTCCGAACGCCAGAGATACAAGTAAGCATGCAGTAGTTTCATACAACACTTCATCTTGGCATATTTGCATTAACCCTTAGTGTCACGTTCAGCGGTGTTTGGTTCCGTGAGAACTGGTTTCGCTACGAAGAAAAAAACCGTGAATCCGATCATCTATCAGGAAACAGAAAAATCCTTGGCGTTCAGAGGCTCCATGATCGTACTTTATAGATTGGAACCAGTGTGTTAATGACTTCGAGCCTGTTCACACGATAGTTAACCGAGCGAAATACATTTATTTGCATACCAATTTGGTTTACACGGGAGATTCACTCGGCACCCAACTGAATCTCTCGTTTATGGTGTTTTAAGCATCCTTATGAGTAGTATACCACGTCTATACAATGGCTAACCTAGTTGAACAGCGGTACAAACCAGAACAAACAGAAACACTTCACTATCACTCGATAGTTGATAAAAAATAATCTTAATAATGAAATGGGCAACGCGATGTCCAAAATGTTCATGAAGCCAACAGACAAAAAAACAAGCAATGATTCATTGCATCTTGCAGATCATGCTGACGTAGGTCCCCAGTAGGGCTCTTGTAATCCATTGTACGATCAAATACAGTTTAGAATGTTGATCCAGCAGAGATGAGTAAAGTTCGTGTTGTCGGGTATGGTGCCAAAAACGTGGCCCATGATCCAGCAAGACCTAAAGCAGGGACTAATACAGAGGTGCCCAGCAGTTTAGAATGTAAGCAGTGAGTGAATGGGTCCTTATCACCAATCAATATTCAATTTTGAGCACAATATCATCTGTGCTGATAGGAATGTTACAGTCAATGAAGATATCGGTGAAGGTGTTTATGCAAACGAAGGAAGCAAAAGACACTATTCGAATATGACTTTAATAATCGGTATTCTCGAATAAGTGTAGGAACAAGCTTGTAAGCGAATATGAGAAATTTGGTGAGAATTGAATGGATTTAGTTCGCAGACAACTAAAGAGAAACTCAAGGGGTTTTTTTTCAAAACACACCTACAAGCTCTCATAATGTGATGCGAATTTCCGTGGCTTTCTACATGAACATTCCAGTGTTCCCAGGAGGCCAGCGATCGAATCCTCGTATTGCTCCACACTTCAAAATGGGGATTATTAAGGCGTTGACGACTTCGGCTTCAACAATAGTACCGTATAGGACCACTTTGACTGGGCAACAACTTATGACAAGCTGCTCGACGTCACTGAGGACACGTTTGGAGCAATTAGAGGGCACCATGAACCCCACAGTACACATCACCTATAACTCAAGCATCACATTCAACGGAAATAGATATCTCAGTCACAAAATGGAAACGTTTTGCGAGTGTAAAGAATCCATGAGCTCGAGGTAGCTCGGTGGTTACAGTGCGAATCTACTGACCGGAAGGTCCGTGGTTCGAGCCTGACCTATGCATCTCGAATGGGCGACCTGCCAGTAACTCGGCTCCCGTGTTCCCTCCTGGTGGCATGAAAGCTGTGCATCGAAAGGATGTTACAGCTGACCAGTAATGAATCCATAAGGATAGTTTAGAATATTTTACAGTACCCAGAATCATCCAATTGATAGAGACATAAGACGATACAAGCGTAGGTCTATTCTAGAGAATTCATAGTTTTAGCAAAGACGTCGACCAAAAAGGATATCGACCTTTGGAGACCAGCATGTTAGAAAGGTGTGGTAAGCAACGGTCGATAATGGCATGCCACTATAATCCAGCGATTCCAACTAGAACCAGTCACGTGTTGATAGATGTGCTGCTGTGTGTCTGAATTATCAAGACACGGGAGACTAGGTGCTATCAGCAATACCCATCGGAGAAATAGTAGCTAGGAAAACTCGAATCACACTTCAAACAACTCTATCTTCATCGGTGCTACTAGGGTGTGCAGAATGTGCACACGTGAACGTATGTATGTGCAGGCATGTCGTGATAGCTGATCGGGCCGAATCCACACTGGCGTGGAGACACCACGCCAAAAAGCTGCGCTAGACACGGTTTCAAAAGCAGCTTGTCGCAGTTTTGAACTAGACAAGTTGGAAAAAATGGCACGCCTCAGAGCAGACGAATAACGGTGGCAGATGGGGAACCAGTTACACATAACTAATGACCCCTAAGCAAGACGTGCGAAGCAGGGGATCCAGTCGGTGATGTGTTCCAGAACGTCCTTTGTACATCGAAGCATTCTGTCAAATGAGGAATTACACCGGTACCACTTCAGCACAAGAGAGGACATTCATTACAAAACAATGTATTCGTCGACAATGGTTCATTGTAGCGGAAACGTGCTGGGAACACTAACGTACACGTTCATTAGAAAACTCAACATTAATTACCGAAAAAAATCGTTCAGCTGTGGCACTATTTTGGTGCCTAGCTGCCATGCCACACGAAGGAGGCACGAGGGCTGGGATACTCCCAGGTTGCCCAAGCCTAGACAGGGGAAGTCGAGAGGCAGAGGTGGGGTTCGAATCATGAACTTTCCGGACAGTAAATTCGCGCCCTAACCACTGAAATGACCACATTCGGTTTGTAGCGTTTGTACTCCAGTTTCATTAGGGAAAACGTGTGAGAGATGAGTTGCGGGAATCAAACACAGAATCTATTTTAGCGATATATATATATTTATTTATTTATATATACAGTTTACTAGTTACATAGCCGGCTAGCCATAGTGTCAAACTATCATAGTCAAAACGAAGCACCCAGCTGTAGAAGCACGTGAGAGGCAATTGGATCACACTGTATCATATTAAGTGTGCTCCCAAGCAATAGATGGGTTTAGTGAAATAGCCTCTTCCAGAAGACATTTGAGGGCGAGATGGCTCAGTGATTGGAGTGCGAATTTACTGACCGAGAAGTCCGTGGTTCGAACCCGACTTTCCCTGTCTAGGCTTGGGCAACTTGGGAGTATCCCAGCCCTCGGGCTGCATGGCAACTAGGCACCGAAAGGGTGCTACAGCTGAACGAGAAGGCACTTTTCAGAGCAATAAGAATCGCGCTGAACGGTATTTCATTACGACAAGGTGTAAATGCAGTTGTTAACATAAACGATATCATACCCAACTATTATGAGTAATCCAAGAGAACGGGGCTAAGACCAAGGAGGTGAGAACTGACAAATCAGTCACGTGCGTAATCCAACACCGCTGAAACGCGAAACGAAAAGGGCAGAGAACCAAGTGCACCTCAACCAATAAACTAACCAGCCTTGTCCAGTTGTTCCGTCAGGTCCATCACCTCATTCGAATGCAGTTCGGCCAAAGCCAATGCATCTTCTAGCTGAGCTTGAACCCGAATCAGATGGGAAGGGGATAGAGGGAACGAACTAGCACTATCTGTGACATCAGACAATCGGTTTGTTTTCACCGGTAGCCTTGATTGTTGTTCTTGTTGTTGTTCCTGTTGCAGTTCTTCCACAGGAGAACCTGTCAGGCATGGACTACCGTTGACGAGTGATGTGGTAGTGTTGAGGACAGCACCGACGCCAGTTTCATCGGTGGAAAGGGTGGGAGCAAATGGTGCCAGGTGGATTCCATTCAACAGGGCAACGTGGTCGGGATGGGGAGAGGAGAAGGAAAACCCTGTTTTGGACGAACCGAGATCGAGAAACATGAGTATTTTTGTGACGTTCAGGACTTGGGTGTGTAAGAGAATGACCAGTAGGTGAGAAAAGTAACGAAAAAAGCAAAAAGAGACTAGACGTGTATGTGAATCAGGCAGCACTCCATCGAATATTGTGTTGATGATGACGGCACCCATGACATGCCATACAACGTAATCTAAGGACCATGCAGGTCATTCTCTTTTCTTGAGCCACATCACACCATCATCGAAAGCAATATGAGTGCTAACCCGATAAAGAACGCCCCAATTTTAGGAAAATCGTATGCAAAAACCCAGAATAAAACGACCTAGTTATATCCTTCCTCAAATATCCGAGAGCTGTCTGAGCCAAAATGCAATGTAGGAGAACCAGACGACATCAAACCATGGTCCTCAAACCCAAAGAGGGCTACAAAATGATCTACCGTGGAATGTCGACCATATCTGCATCACCCGGACTTATTTCACACCTTTCTAAAAGGCCGAACGTTAAAATGTGTCACAATTTATACTACTCGGGAGTTAGAAAAAAGAAAGAAAACCTTCGTCATAGACACAACAGCATTACAACCGACGGCGCTTAAGGCACTAAGGTGTAGCCTCTGTCAGCAAACACCGGTTTTCCCATCACCTCATGATGAATTCGTGATGATTCAAGGTCACTGATAAAACACGTGAATGCGCCACAGATATGATGTAATACAAGCGTGGGAAGTAAATTATTGAAACTCAATGGCAAACTTAACTACAGTATCAACTGATCGGCCGTCGGTCTGAACATCTGGTCAGCCACAGGTAAGGGGGCTACAGATGACCAGTTAGCTGTGAACAGTTGATCACCAAAGACCAGAGTAAAAGGATGAACGATACCGACAAAGTATGAGGTGACAAGAGGCACATTCTTTAGTGAGTTTATGAGTACAATTATGTATCTGTTCCCTTGAAAAGAAAGACTACCGCGGTACTCTTTATTCTGGGTGGGTTCATGCTGTGACGGATTAGCTCCAGATAATCCCGTAAGGTCGCTTAGATATAGCTAGAAACGTACCTGCAAATGCCAGCTGAATACCCGGATGTTTGTGCAAAAACCGATCGCCGTCAAACTTTCCGGGAGATAGAGGTTGTTTGGCCGATGAAGGCGGAGAATCCGGAGCTGTTGTCCGTCTTGTGGGACTTGGTGGAGAAAAGTCGTCCAGCGAGTGTCGATGGTCGTTTTCATCGTCATTCTCCAACTGGAAGTAGGCAGTATCTGTTTCACTGGTGAGTTGGGGTTGGAAAGGAGCACGGCACGCGCGAATTGTTGACCAGGACCAGTCGACGAGAGAAAGATCGGTCGAATCGAGGGAACCTGAAGCTTTTTGGGCGGAAGACCACTCGGAAGAGAACCAAGCGTGTTTACGGACGTTGGTAGCAGCGTCTGGACCACTACCCAGACGAGTTTCACGATCACGAAGGAGTTCTGTGGGAAGAATGGGAAGGAGACCACGTTACGTTACAAACATGCAGTGAATAGTGCCCCGGCAATATTGGTGAATGTAGGTCAAACGTATGTGGCAGCTGCTAGTAAGGACCAAAGCAAGATGAAGTGGGACAAATGCAGTTCACATGTTGAAAATATGCGCAACACTTACGTTTCATAAAGTCCAAACCAGCCTCGGAAACCTGAACGTTGTCAGGGAACTTGAGGTGATTTCCATGACTCATAATTTTAGCGTACGTATTGACCAGCGTCTCGGAGTAGAACGGTGTGTCACCGTATAACATCTCGTAAACCACAACACCAAGCGCCCACCAGTCCACCTCGAAGCCGTAACTGCCACCACCGGCACCCTAGAGCCAAAAACAGGAGGAAATTAGAAGAAGAAAAAACGAACTGGCATCCAGCTGCGGTCGAGACCGAAAATTCCATTCACTGCAAACTCACGAGACCACTAAAATAATTTAGCGACATCCAACAAGTTAGGTGGTGGAATTCCAGAATGGCGCTGAGTCATCCTCAAGATATTTGAAAGTACTTTCACAAGACAGAAACAAGCTCACATTTTATTACTTTGGATGTCATGTCTCTTCAGGAAAGACATTTCGCAATAGTCCTTGGTGTGTGTGCGTGTGTGTGCGGAAACTAATCCACCACTGCATACCGTTAGCTAAGCAATTACACTGCCTCCCACCACAGCGATCAGTCCGCCTAATGCTGACTATTTTTCAGATTTCTTGCAAATTCGATAACTCCCACAATGTTGAAATATCACATTCCAAGCCCCTATATGAAACGCAGGCTAGTGAACTTGTGACAACGTACGCAACTAACACCGTGTGTGGCAACCCGGGTGCCCTTTTTTCCACTTTAATCCACCTTTTACTTAACTAAACCCGCAAATCCCTAAGCGCTACAGGTTTGCTAGAACAGCTGACGCACATGACTGTAGCACTATCGCCCAGCTGGAACTAGGACCACACCAAGCCCAACATATCAAGATTATTGATTTTTACGCTTTCTTGCAGTTGGGCGAACAGAAACTAAACAGCCCAGTGGTCCAGACAGTGAGCATTCGAGAAGTTCTGGGCAGGTTTCTCCAGCCGAGAGTCCTACACAAAGCGAACCGATGAAACATGCGCATTTGAGAATAACACGTCCAAACAGACAACCACACAGAAACTCATTCTGGGGCGACTTTGCCCTCATCCGGTCTTACCGAAGTGTGTCCCTCCCTCTCTAAATTCTATTGCACCGGAATTTACCTGTTCCTTTTGAAGTCTTAATAGAGAGAGGACTATAGGTCATTTAAAAAGACAGAATCAATTGCCAGGCGAAGTGACAGTCCGACATTCGTCTCGTACAAACAATGTTTGAAAAATACGGCCAACTGAGTGTGAATCGTTGCCGTACATCAGACGTTAGTCGGTCAGTTGCAGCGCTCTGGATGGATTTATAACCTTTGTTAAACCTGATACCAAATTTCTGACACCAACATGGGCGAACTTGATGGCGCCAGCGATTTTGCAACCGATTTACAGGACTCACACGATCAGCAGACAGTCGACTGTTGCCTACATCCTGTTCTATCGACACTGTCATCATTTAGTTGAAAGAATCTAAGTTGGTCAAGCAGGGTGAGTCATCAGTTTGGGTTAGCTTACTGTTACCAACAAATTGAGGCTGGTTGCACGGTGCGTGATTCCATACTTCCGATGGCATACTTAGACAGCTATTAGATGAATGTCATGATCATGTGACTGGCCTCTTCAGGTATTCCAAGCAGCGCGGGAAACAATTTCTGTGGGCTGGCATGCAGCGTTCATTGACGTTAGACAGCTACATAGTCAGATCAGAGTTAGTTGCGTCACAAACCAGGACGAAAACACAATCGTTCTAACAGGTGATAATTCGAAACTGCAGAGAAAACCAGGGTCGAAAACTGAGTATGTCAGTTCGTTTCGTATACAACAAAAAAGCAAGAAGTGCATCTGAAGTTGTTATCTTTTTATTGTGATGATTATTTGTCTGGACGTCCCGGAAAATCCTTCACAGATATTTTCCATACACTTTCATACTCCTGGACTTCCAAAGTCATAGACTGAAACGCACCAACTTTCATCATGTGAAGAGTCAAAAATGCAGTTGATCATCCAGAATCGAAGAGGTCGATCATACTATACCTGTCTTAGTGGGTAAGACTTGTTCGTCACTTCAGAAAGCCAAAAAGCACCAAAAACAATTGATCACCTGTCTTGGTAGCACAACAGGCGATAGCAAACTGCAGTGTGTTTGAAATGAACGGGCTCCTGAGCGCATACTTGAAAATGGGTTATGGTTGTCATAAACGATGTGGATACCCATCCGCCGTTCTCAAAAGCATAAAAGCGTTATGTACTCATCATCCTAGTTGGTTAGAAGTTTGTGGTGGGGAACTGTGACTTGAAAAAAATCGTTCAACTGAGCACCCTTTGAGCGCATACTTGAAAATGGGTTATGGTTGTCATAAACGATGTGGATACCCATCCGCCGTTCTCAAAAGCATAAAAGCGTTATGTACTCATCATCCTAGTTGGTTAGAAGTTTGTGGTGGGGAACTGTGACTTGAAAAAAATCGTTCAACTGTAGCACCCTTTCGGTGCCTAACTGCACGAGGCCTGGGATACTGTCAGGTTGCTTAAGCCTAGACAGAGGAAGTCGAGAGGCAGAGGTCGGGTTCGAACCACGGACCTTCCAATCAATAAATTCGCGCTCTAACCACTCGCCCCAGGGCATGAACGGTCTGGTAGCATACGCACCGTTAACAGTTAGAAAGTGTCCAAATGGTACCACTTGATCCTCGTGTTCTGGATTCCATGTTGCGCAAAATTTGCGATTCAGCTGATGGCGCCTCATTCTGGCAGGATGACCAGATACATTTACCGCAATACCCTACAGCCTTCCTTTGATTTGTCGTGGTTGCCATGGAAACGAAACGAATCATTCTCTTTTCTGTTGAAGCTTTATTAACAGGCTTCGTCTTCATGCTCGCAATGGCGTTGAGATGCTGGCACCATGCTTCCCACTGTGTAGAGAATGCCGTACCATCAGGTAAGGAGCCCACTTTTCAACGCCAAATGGGACAGTCTGTATGTTGTGTTCGAACTCGAACGGATTTCGCAACTGTTCAGCCTCCTTCCTCCTCAGTGACTATGTAGGCTGATATTCGCATGTTTGATGTGTGCCCGCGAAATGGTGTTCCGGTTGCGTTCGCTTCAATGATAGTCAAGTGGCTTGCTGTCGAAGACTGACAATACACAACAAGATTTGCTCAGCTGGCTCTAACGGTGTGTAAAGTGGTCTTCTGATCACGCTAGAATGGGCAGTCTCAAGGCTGCAGAGCAGTCAAGGACAACGAATCGTTCAATTGTAGCACCTTTTCGGTGCCTAAGTGACATGCCACCAGAAGCTTGCACGAGGGCTGGGATACTGCCAGGTCGCCCAAGTCGAGAAGCAGTTGTCGGGTTCAAACCACGGACCTTCGCGCTCTAACCACTTGGGCCAACTCACCCCAACTACCGACAACTAGATATTGAAGGTTCACAAACTAAAATAGTGACCCTAGGAAACTTTAATCAGTGAACGGATTTAACTGCCACGATCAATACCTAATGTATCCACGGTCCCATCTTTAAGGCATCCATTTATGCTGGTTACAGCTCTCGCCATAGTTGGCAAGTTAAAACGGGACTCAATAACAAAAAGTAAGTTTACTCAGGACAACTTATGTATTTTGGAGACGCGCAAAGTCAATTTTGAAACGACGCTCGGTCATGCAATCAGACCACTCGACGTCAAGGAAATGAGTGTGAAGAGCAATTAGCGTTGAGTTGGTAGTTCAGTCATGTCAAGCTTCGCAAAAATGCCACAGTGCACCGGCTCTTTGGCACCTTGAACCCATACAGAAAAAATGAGGGATGGTAGAAAATGAGAAACTTTTCCTCGTTCCTTGCATGATTTGGTCACTTGTCAGCATCCACGGAGTATCTGGAACTCCCCATGGATTCTTTCAGCAAGAGACACGTGTACCCACGTTCATGATGTTTCTTATGGGAGGCATTAGCGCAGTGGTTTTGGTAACGACCGTCGTATGCGACACTCGAATAGTAATCCGGAGACATAGACGGAACGACAGACCATTCCCGAATCACCCTCAAGCCGTGTGAATTCAAATCAGCATCCCATTCCGTGTCAACGAACTGTTGGGGAGAGAAATGAAGTCCCTAAGCGGCATGGTTCGTTAACCGGACTTGACAGTTGGTTTGCGAAAGTGTCTCGACGGGTGGCTATTTCCTACTCTCCTGCTTACATAATACATTTAAAACGGACCAATGAGCAACGAGATAACCTACCGAAGTGGGGGAACGAAGAAATCCCTTATTTAACGGTGTACCGATGACGTTTCTTCGAATGCCGATGAAACATTTGCAACCCATTTTAGTCAACAACAAACGAGTCAAGTCAGGTATCAATGTTCTGGAACAACGCTGGGCCGATTGAGACCAACTGAATCTCACAGTTTTCTTGTGCAAGGGGAAGGGCAGAGTCCTCAATATGGAGCTTAACGATTTGAGAACCTTTAAGGTGGATTGTCCATACCCGTGGCTCCTTGGTGCCATCCTTGAGATTCCCTCACACTCAGTGTGAATTCGATGGAAGACATGCACTTACATCCATCTAGACACTTTGAATTTCCACGTATGATCTACAATCAGTTTGCTTTCAGAAAAGAAACGGAACAGTTGTGTAATTTTGTCCAGGGGAATGCACACTGCACAATTCCGTTGCAACAACCATGGACTTTCTAAGTATAGTTTCTTACCATCGTGCCCGATTCTCATCTTCCTCATCGTTCATGCTACCGGCAACAACATACGCCTACGGGGAACGCTCCTGTCTACTTTGTTTGTTTGCCCACGTTTGTCCATG